TATCCTGCTTCTCGGAATAAATGTGTGGACCAGCAGCATTTTGAGACAGGATGTTCCTGATCTTCTGGCCTGATCGATAGATATAGCGGAGAATCATCATAGCAGTGGAAATTCATGGCGTGGAAATACAAGATAACATATAGAATACGATTTCACAGAATTACCCCGTGTTTAATGGATTAATCGAGGTAAAAAACTATCGAGCAGTTTTAATGAAGGCAATTCCATTGAGGAAACCTTGGACAACAAGGGTTGGGAATAATCTCTTCCCAGTATGTTTCCAGTTAACTCTTAAATGGCAACACACACATTTTAAATGATGGTTCTTTAAAGGGGGCATTATGGAGTTTCCAGCAGCCACTAGTGGTGCGGTTTTAAGACTGCTACCAGGCGCGTGCTCGTACGCATGCTCGCTTGAACTCATGTGCGAGTATAATCCGAAACACAGCCACTTTCATACAGAAATCCTGCAATACACGCAGGAACACAAGCATGCAGGCTGTGGCTTTTCACTCAGACATGTTCAGGCTCTCTTCAACGTTCCCGTCTCAGAGGCAGATCAGATCAGCAGCTCCGTAACGTTACTTCATTCAGCGCAGCCAGCCGCATATCGGCACAATCCTCCTGGAAAAAGCCACAGTGACAGCTATAGACAGGCACAGGGAGACAGCTTCACACAATATACTGGAAACTCAGGTAAACCCCTACTGCAACGTTACAGTAATAGTTTTATCAGCTGCAGGTTGAACTAATCCACTAATCCTACTGTAACATTAGCTGGCTGTTCCTGGCTGCATCACTATAGGCTAATGTTAGTAAACAAATTCCTCCACATTTGCTTTTTACCGTTACATCCGTTCTTGCAGGCTAAATAAACAGTTGTACACAGGATAGTAACATGGGTCACGTTAGTTGGTGGAGTAATGTGGAAAGCCATATAACTTTGCACTGGATAACATTAGCAACTGCACGGCGTTACCCGGCGAGCTAACGTGACTTTCTCTATGTTTCTGCAGCTTTACTAATGCTCACTTTGTTCTTACTCGACATCATCTGAACCTGCTTGGTGTGAATCCGACCTGGAGTCTCCCCATTAAAGCAGAATAGTGGCTCATGCAAGCAACGGAGAAAACAGGCGTATGCTTCATTTCTAAGTGAGTTTCGAGCCCATTGACAATTAAGCAATGAAAATTTGATTAATTTCATTGAAAAACTTACATACAGTCCCTTTAAACCTATTATGCTTTTTCACATTTTATGACTTAAAATGCAGCGTCTCGACTGTTCCCGCCGTCAGGCCCTCCTCAAGGAACTGGGCCCCCTCAGGGCCAGACCCACAGTCTCCACAGGGTGGGGCAAGTGTGAAAGACCTGGCCCTCTGCCTGAGACAGCAGAGGGACCTGCCACGGCGGGCCCTCCAGAAGCGAGATTATGTCTGAGAACCATACTCGGGCCGGCCAAAACAGGGCTACTAACAGCAGGCTGACACCGTCTTGACGGACAGAACCCCCGGGAGCAGAGCAACTGGGGGAAAAGCATACAGACGCAGCCTTGGCCACGTCTGCACAATGGCATCCAGCCCTAGCGGGGCTGGGGGCGAGAGGGAGAACCACAGTGGACAGTGCCTCGGGGTGGAGTCTCCCTTCCATGGGCCTCAGCCCCTGTCTCGACAGCAGGTCTGCTCACTGATTCAGGGTTCCAGGGATATACATCGCTCTGAGAGACAGCGGTCTCTGCTGGGACCACAGGAGGATCTGATGTGCCAGCTTGCATAATGGGCGCGAGCGCAGACCCCCCTGGTGATTCAAATAGGCCACCACTGGACCATGGACCCGACGCGTGCAGGCGACAGGTGGGCCCGCATTGTCGTTGAGTCCCACACCACCCCTAGGAATGTAGTCCGTTAGGTGGGCGTCAGCACGCTCTTCTTTGCGTTGAGCCGCAGCCCCAAACGCTGAAGGTGGGCGAGGACGACATCTCGATGCCGAAATGCTAACTCTCGAGACTGAGCCAAAATGAGCCAGTTGTCGATGTAGTTCAGTGTGCGGATGCCCTGGAGCCTCAACGGGGCCAGAGCTGCATCCATGTACTTGGTGAACGTGCGAGGGGAGAGTGCTAGGCCGAACGGAAGAACCCGATACTGGTACGCCACGCCCCCGAAGGTAAACCTCAGGAACTTCCTGTGAGAGGGACGGCTGGAGATGTGGAAATATGCGTCTCGCAGATCTATCGTGACAAACCAATCCTCGGATTGGATGTGACTGACGATGGCGGGGATGGTGAGCATCTTGAACCTGAATCTCCTCAGAGATTGGTTCAGGGACCGCAGATCTTTTTGGGAACTATGAAGTACTGGCTGTAGAACCCGGACTCCCTGACTGATGGGGAAATAAGTTCTATGGCCCCCTTTTCCAGCAGAGAGCGAACTTCTTGTCCCAACACCTGGCTCTGCTCCGAGTGAACCGCAGTCCAGACCACCCCGTTGAATCCGGGGGGGTGGACCCGGAACTGCAGCCTGTAGCCATCCACTACGGTGCGCAGGACCCACGGGGAAATGTTCGCAAGGCTTTGCCATGTTTCTGCGAAATCCGCCAAGGGAACCAGCCCCTCGGGGTTTCCGACTGCAACCCCTCGAGGTGGGCAGACCGGTGAGAGCTCGCTGGTGGCTAGCATGTCCGAAACGGCGGGAAAACAGCGCCTGTTGCCTGAGCCACCGCAAGGGAGGGGACCTTGGTCATCCTCCCTCGGGGGGTAGGAGGCGTGGGGGTGGTAGTTGGCCCCCCTACTCGAAACCTCAGGACGTCTTTCCCCGGGCCCGCCGAGACTGAATGATGGTCGTCAGATCAGTTGGCGAGAGCGCCTCCTCGCGTCTCGGAGGTTTGTTGAGGTGGACCATGGGAAGCGACACTGGCCCTGATGGTAGGAGCTAGACGAGGGCTGAGCTCGTCTCTCTTCAGCCGTCGCCGTCCTGGACCCAGACCAGCGGCTTCAGGGATGACGCTAGGGTGGGAGAAAGGTAGCTCGCTAATGCGTCCTCAACCCGAGGCATCGCTCCGTAGCCACTCTGCTTAATCTCTGTCACATTGCTGTAATCCAGCAGAGGGGAAATAGTCAGCCGTGCAGAGAAGGGTTTATTCCATGATTTACACAACTCATTGTGCAAATCAGGAAAGAATGGCAAGGACCGGAGCGGGGGTGGTGCGTGGTGCTGCAGAAAACGCTCATTTAGTTTACTGCTGCCCGCCTTTAGTTCATCATAGCTGGGCGCAGACTGATGACGTCGGCCCGGCTCCCGGAAGTCATCCTCTATGATGCTAAGCACGTCTAACTCCTCAGAATCAGACTGTGTGAGCCTCTCCGGACTCATACCTCAGGCGGGAGAAGCCGAGAAACGGGCTCCTGAATGGGGAAGAGGGGAGGCGGAGTCAGCAGACGGGGACTGGGAAAAGGCCTCAGCTGTCCCGACGCCCTCGGAGATATCGCGCTGCAGATTTCCTTCCAGGTAAGAAAATTCCTCTCGTGGTTGTACTTTTCTCTTCGTAGTCTCAAACATGCCAGAGTTCGAGTTCCCTCGAAGGGGAACAACAGCCTGGTAACATGCTTCAGGTCTTGGCCAATCAAACAACAGTGGGCTTTGAGAGGGGGGGCCTTAAAGAGACAGGAGCATCTACAGCTTGTTCTGACAGAGGCTGAAATGAAGGCCTATACGAAGAATCAGTATAAGAAAAAAATTTTTTTTTTGAACTTTGAATCATGAAAAGCTGCCATACAGGAGTCACAGAGCTACAATATAGGACTGTAAAAGCAGTATAATAGGTCTCCTTTAAAATGAAAGCATCTTAGCTTGAGCTAAAATAGCATGCTCTAAGTGTGATTGAAAACTTAGTAGTAGCCAGGTCCAGGGGCTTCGTCTTAATGATGGTCGGTTTAAGGCTTATTTTAGGATGAGTTGGGGACAGACTGTTGCAATCCAAGCAACTGTAAACTTCCGTGAGCACAACTGAGGGCCCGTCTCTCCATTCATTAGACATCGGACAATGGGAAAAAATGCAAATGACGTCAGGCACAATATTTTCAACTTCAGAAAGGGGTCGGACTGCCAGAAAGGTTAAGAACCCCTGATCTAACCAATTAGATCAATGACCGTTACACATTTTCTTTAAAATTTTTAATCTTGGTGTCAAAATTTAGAATAACACAAACTACAACACAAAACTTTGTTAAAAATAACAAGATTAAAGTTAATTGTCATGTTTAATCTTTATAAGTAGTAAATTAAATTAATTACAGATCCATCCCAGAGATGGACTTGATTGCTATTATTGATAATTATCATAAACTTTGTCTTTACCTGCTGCCGTTTATATTGTATTTATTTTATATTGTTAGGATTTTATTGATACATTTTTATACTATTTATTGGTTCTGTTCTTTATATATACTCTTATTGGTTTTTCATTACTAAATAATGTTATTTAACAAAGAATATATTTAGAACAATAATACATTTTTTATATTTTATTATAACTAACTGTTTTCAGAGCAGCAACAAAAGTAAAGTTTACGGCAGCAAAGTCAGTATATAATGATGATGTACACAAGACACATTCTTATACCATATACACTGTTTTTGTATACAAAGGCACTGTTGTGTTATCACTACATACTACACTTTGACATGTGACACCTACAAATGTAATGTCACAATTGTTAAAGGGGCTATATGCAGTTATTCAATTAAATCACTTATTAATAAATCTGTTTATTGTATTTGTTTATTGTGTTTTTACAGATTCTCAGGTACACAGCTTCTCCACCGTCTCAGTCGCTGTAACTTAGGTGACAGCCCCTTCCAACTTGGACTGATCCTAGATTTTGCTGTAATCTGACTGGCTCAAGTTTACTGGCAGGAGTTTACTTTCCATCCGGTTTGTGTGACAAGTGCAACAGAGACGGTAAATATAGCAAAAAAATTTAATTTAGAAGAAAAATGTTGGCACAAGAGGCATTTGTAACTATTTTAGCCTTCTGACTGACTGTATACATGACATGTTGGTCGCATAGGTTGGTAGTTAACAGTATATTGTGACTTAAGTGTTCCTGCTCAGGTCAGACTGTTGCAATTTTATGTTTATTTTTCTTTCTCTGTGCTGGAGTTATTTTATGAACTTGATGGCTTTATCTAGTTTTTTATTTAATTTGTAATGAACTTTATCATGTGTCTCCTCTTTATACTCCCACGCAAAAAAGCTGTACACACCTGGTTGCAATCTTAAAACCTAATGGTCGCTGAATGGCCTGAAAAAAGGCACAATTTGAGTATATTAGTATGTTCAGTGCTTTTGGTTGACCATTTTGGTCAATGGTTACGTGTCAACAAACAGTAAAAGTGAAAATCAAAACTCAACATTAAATTGACCTGTCTGTCATTAGAAAAAGCACGACAGTGGGTAAATCACGATGATTGGTTATACACTTTATTTTATTTAATTAATTTTATCAGTGCGGTGCTATATCTGTCTGCGCAACACGCATGTCAGATCTCTCATTTGTGGCTGCCTGTCCTCGCGACTGTAACTTCCACTATTTTTATCTACACTAGAAAACAAAAAGCAGAAAAGAGCATGCATGTTACTTTGTGGCTATAACAACGCTGTTGACACTATGTCCACCATACCCTATAGTCCCTGCAGTAGCATGAGAACCACATAACGTTCAGTATTTAATGTTTTTATTAGACTATAATCAAAACGCATGTTTAGTCAAATTTTTGGGACAAACAGGAAGGGAGTCAGGACAACTGCTCATAATTCAGGACGTCTAGTCACTCTATGTGTCGGTGAGGTTAAAGATGATGGAAATGATGTAACATTAGACCTCTGTATTGTTTTAATATTTGTATTTGAGAACGTAGTAAAAGTGTGAAACAAGTAGGCTCAACGGTGTTACAGCTACTGGATGTACGACCTATGGTTTTGCAACTGGCAAATAGCAGTAACTGTGAGTCATAGTACCAATTAAGACTAGGAGAGCTTAAGTATTTTTGTTGAACTTAGCAACAAATTTGTACATGGATATAATTTGTAAAATATGTTATTTGACATGTTAAACTCCATGCTGTAATGCAATGCAAAATGTGTAATTTGTTAGAAGGAAGATTATTGTCAAAGTGGTTTAAAAGAAGAAAAAAGAGATATATTCTTTTAATAAAGACAGAAAACAGCCTGCTGAACGATCACAAGTAACATCTCCTGTCTCTGCTTTTCCTATACAAAACAGGACACAATATCTGTTCACAAGTCACTCATGCTTAAGGCCTGTAACAGACACTGACATAAATAACTGACATAAATAAAACAATGTCTCCATCTCGAGTTCTTCAACAAAGGAAGTGACAGTAAACAAATTAATATTAATATAATATTAATTAATATTAGTTTTCTGTAATTTTCCATGCAGTCTTATTAAGTATTATTTAGTGCATCAAATGTTACTTGGTGCTTCAAAGGATTTCACCATTAAAACCCTGCAAAGTGGGAGTCAAACTAAATCAGCTGTCTGGTCAAAGACACATCTTTATAGTTAATGTCAAAAAATAAAATAATATACCTTTAGATGAGTGGAGAAAGACAGTGATTTGGTTGCTCTTTTTCTTTGGAGGAAGACAAACGACAGCAGCTAGATAATTTAACACGAGAACACTGAGCCAGCGAGGCACATCACTGTTCTGGCTGGAGCTCCTGGACTGGATATAAGTGATAACACTGTCTCCAGCAGGCTGGCCACCATCAAAGAGAGACTGATAGAGAAAAAATGTCTGCAGGAAACAATAACAATAACATTTTAGTACATTTTAGTTTCCAAGCAGTGTAAAGCACTCTAAGTCGTCAGAAGACTACAAAGGAGCTATACAAGCACAGTGACATTAAGTACTGTATGTTTTACATGCACGTTAGCAATCTGGTTTTAAGTCACATCTTGGTTATGATCTAATTCTGGGAAATTATGATAACCTTAAACTTGAAAAACCTGTTATTTATCTCCTTGTAAAAACTAGGGCTGAACGATTAATTGCATTTGTGACATTATCGCGATATGATATGATATGATTAGCACTCACGGGTAAATTGGTGGTTGTGGTGGGTGAAATCACTTTGGCGGACAGGAACAAATGCACACCAGAAAGACACGTGTCGTAAGGTAAGCGTATTGTGGCTATCGGCGCCTATGTCACCTATGCCACCAGTCAGCTCAGGAACTATTTACGTAACAGCGTTTCAAACCAAACGCACAAGTCTGAAAGAGGACCAGCCTGTCTGAGTTATACAGCCTGGTTACAATTGTGCGCTGCTCACCAGCATCGGAGGCTGCACGGGAAGTCCGGTGTTGTCGGAGAATTACTAAGCTTGTCTATTAAACACGAGAAGTGTCACTTGGTTTTCTTTTCGTTGGCCAACTTTAGAAATGAACCTCAAACTGAGTATTTCTGGAGGTTTTTTATGAGAGATGGACTCATTAATTGGTGGTTGAACAGTGGGTTTTGTATTGAGCACTTACTGTATAATACAGATCACACTGGTGAACTTAGTTTTTCTTGTGGTCTGTAGGTAGGCCTACCTGATGATGTTATATCATATTATTTAATGCCATGACTTGACTCTCTAAATATCTTTCTCATATTATTATAATTTGATATTTAATCATAATAATAATTCATGCAATTCATGCATCACCTAATTTCATCATAACACAGGTCTGGCCTACAAGTATTGTGTTGGTCATACTATACACTGATTTACTGCTTGTCCGTTTTGAATAATACAGGAGCTAAAGAGCTTAAAAATTAATTGCATATGAAACTGCAATTGCAATATTGGTAAAAAAATTGCAATTAGATTATTTACCAAAATTGTTCAGCCCTAGTAAAAACCCAACTATCGACCCTTTACTAGGTATATACTATGTTCCATGTCTGTTTTATTTATATATTTTATTTTACCATCATTTTACCAGGAAGTCCCAGCCACTACTGCAGTTTTAACTGCTGACCTTGTTGGTGTGAGGTCCAAATTAACTACAATAACAACCAGGAGGAGATTACACGGCCACTTACATTTACATTTATTCATTTAGCTGACGCTTTTATCCAAAGCGACTTACAATTGCTATATATGTCAGAGGTTGTGCACATCTGGAGCAACTAGGGGTTAAGTGTCTTGCTCAGGGACACATTGGTGTCTCACAGTGGATTCGAAAACCAAAGGCATGTTGTCTTATCCACTGCACCATCACCACCACTTCCCTTTTACCTCAGGCACTAGCCCAGTTGGTGCCCCTCACAGTTCGAAAACCTCTGTTTTAGTGGAAATTAGCCCTGCAGTTTTGGTTTCATTTGTACAGCTTTTGAGACATTAGTCTCTGAGATTTCTGCTTTCACTCCAACGGAGGTGAACAGAATGTCGGCATTTAAAAACAGCACCATCTCTTTTCAAAAAGAGTCAGTGAATTCAGTGTTATTCTACATAATAAAACTAAATACAGAACTCACTTTAAACAACTTTCACTGGAACTTCTTTCAACAGAAACAGTGCCTATCCAGACATTTGATAATAAACACTTTCGTCTGTTGTTGATATTGCCACTGTTGTTCAGTTGCCTGCAGCAGTCCCTATGTGTGTGTGGTCAAACTAAGCAGCAGCTCTTAGCTTTAAAAGCACATGTGCAGTAGTGAATTTCATAAAGATGTGTATGTCCATATCCTTCAACTTTCTCTGGAATAAGATCACAGGTGTCACTTACTGATGAGGGGTGTTACTTTAGGTTTCGTGTCACATTGTATGTGTGTTATCCTGCATATTCTGACAGTGCTGTGGATGGCATTTCCCCATATTAACTTTAATAACTCTGAACCACTGAATATATTTTGTAAAATTCGTATGACTGAAAGTAGCCCACAGGTTACAATTATGTATTGCTACCATCAAACTGGTAAGGTATGGGACAGACAGACACCATCACTAATAGAGTCATTAAAAACAAATCCATACCTCCATACATATTAATTCCATGAGTATGTAGTGTGTTCACTCTAGATACATACTAGAACAATATGCATACGAAGAAACACTTGATTTTTGTCTGTGCTGTATATATACACTGTTCTCCAATAATGCAATGTATGAAGAAAAAAGATAAAGGTTTATCACAACTGGAAAACTTTCAGACTAATTGAGAGTGGCGATAAAACAGCTTTGTACAATTGTGTTATTCTTAAACTGCAGTTTGACTGAAGTGTCAAACTTCAGACTCTAAAACTTTGTGTTAGTATAAAATGGTTAATTATGTCGATTTCTTATATACTCAAAGCAAGAATTGTTAACTATCATCAGTATTTCGTCTATACTGTACGCAATTAGTGTGGAATGAGTACAGATATTATAATACAAAATAAGTGATCATGGACTAACTAGAATAATAAAAATGCTTACAGAGTATATGATCTCAGAGTAGCTTTCCCCACCAAACACCAAGGTAAAATTGCTAACGCCGATATCTATGAGTTCCCACTCCCCATTGGTCTCCAACACGGCTCTGGACTCCGCCAGAATCTCTTCTGACGAGTAGCCTTGAACCATCCTTATGTCCGTATCTTGAAAAACATTAAACAGTACAGTTTAGTTTTGAGTTATTAGAAGCTCAGAAGTGAAGTTTTGTGTCAACCCCCATCCATGGAATATTGTATCACTTTTTTCACAGGTGAATTTAATAAATAAGCTGAACAGAGATGATCCAACAGAAAAACTGAGCATGGAGCAGCTGTGATTATGGGTGAATTTTGGCTTGTAAATGTGTTCAGGGCAGGACTCTTATCAAACATATAACGTTTGGTGCAGATGTGAGCATGTACACTGAAGCTACAACAACTTCCGGTTTTATGCGGAATCATGGATTTTGGAAGCCACGCCACAGGCACGCCGTTAACCGAAACCTCATCACACTCATCACTCCTGTACAACTTTTAATTGTCAATGGGTTTAGAGTAGACAGTGACAATCTGAAGTTGGCCGGACTAATTCTCAAGGAGGAGTTTGTTAAAGCACAGAGTGTATAAATCATCCAAAAATAACCATAAAATTAAAAATGGCCGACTTCCTGTTGGGATTTGGGCATTGATCCATGAGTCTTTTTGGTACGTCTGGACCGTACACTGTACATGATAAATGGACGTAGTCATCGCGACATCACCCGTTGGTTTGTGGACTGCCATTTTGAAGCCCCGAGTTTGGCCGATAGGTCGCTGCCATGTTGAGTTTTTGCAAATAGGAAGTGCCCAGAAGTGCCCATATTTGGACGAGACGGCGGAGCTAACGGCCGTGTGCGGCGCTAGCTAGCTTGCTTAGCTAGGTGGATATGCAATTCATGTTAACTGTCATTTTAACAGGGCTTAACGAGTCGCCTCTAGCCTGATTGACAGGTAACGACTCGTCAATCTTTGATAATCCCGCACTGAAACACACTCTGCTTTATGGTCTATTTTCCTCTAAATGGGACCATAATTTACTAAATGAACATCATGCTGTATTGAAGATGACATGAAACTAGCCAATTAGACCATAAACTCATCAGGAAAGTGTTTACTGAGGTAATTATTTGGCATGTACATGTGTTCAGGGTGGGACTCTTATTGAACAGGTAAAATTTCGTACAGATCTGAGCATGTACAGTCAAGTTACAACAACTTCCTGTGTCATGGCGAAACATTTAACTTAACCGTCACGCCACGACCATGTCCTTAACCAAAATCTTACAAATTTTACAACATGGCCCCATCAATGACAGTTTTGAAGTTGATATGGCCAACCTGCTAGGAGTAGTTCATCACAACTTAAAATGTGTCATTTCCTGTTGCCAGCAGGTGGCGCTATGACTTTGAGTGAATATTGGCATATGAATGTGTTCAGGGTGGGACTGTCCAAATTTGGTACAGATATGAGCATCTAGACTGAGGTTACAACAATAACAGCAACAAAAGTCAACAAATGTAGCTAATTTATTGTTTTTACAGCTACCCTAAATCAAATATTAGAAAATAGAATAAATAATTATAAACATTAAACATTAAATAAACTTTTTTTTTTTTTTTTACTTTTAATGGACACATGCAAAATGTTTTATACTTTATGTGAATATGATATAATCCAATTAATCTTATTTCCATAATGTACAGACGTTGAATCCTCACGCTAAATTCATCAAGTGCGACCCAATTTGATAAATAATGTTGTATGTGGTTCTCATATCGCGCAACATGAAGACTTCACAGCCTCTCTTCAGGTAGGACTCTCATATTGCAACACTTGTCTTTGTAAAGAGAGAAAATGATAGGATCGCTAATCTGCCTGTCAGCTCGCTCTGATCCGTTTCAGTTACTGTACTATTAAGGCTTTAATACGTGTGCACTCCTAATTTAGGCACGGCAAGCTTAATCGCTTTCTCACAAACGAGTGACAGAAACAGACTGTTACCATAGTTACCTCAAAAGAAAAGTGGTTGTCTCGAGTCGGATGCCAAAGTGTGTGAGCGTGCGAGCTTACAGCAGCCCAGAGCAGCTCCCACAAAACACAATTTTAGAGGTTTGTAATGTTATTATAAGTGTAAAAGTGTGTAAAAATATTTTCGGTTTATTTTGAGACTATGGTGGAGCAAATTAGACTGTGGCGGGCTGCCATGGTCTCGTTAATTAATGTTACGTTAACGTACGCACCCTGTAAATGGTATAACATGGGTTAAAATTGCACTTTCAATTCCAAATGGCAGACTTCCTGTTGAGTTTAGGGTATAAGTCCTCGAGGCTTTCCAAAATATTTCGTGCATGTAAGTTGAACGTGGCCAGGGGGCTAAATTTTTCCAATATTGTAGGTGTCGCTAGCGAGCCATTTTGCCCTGCTTATGTGCAGGATCCATAAAATATGTAATTTTTCGCTACTTCTGACATGTGTGCAAAGTTTGGTGAGCTTTAGAGCATGTTTAGGCCGCCAAAAATGAGCTTACTTTGCAGTAAAAAGAAAATTTGTTCAGTTCCAATAGGGACCTCCCATGTTTCATGCTCGGCCCTAAAATTCATCCCTTCAGTTTCAATGGAGACCTCACACGTTTCGTACTCGGGCCCTAAAAATACCCTTGTTAATCCCCTGTCAACATTTGTCAATTCTAATCACTGCTTACACAAGACATTTTGCAGAGAAGCATTTTATCATGCAGTTCAAAGTTCACACTTTATATGTTCAAGTAGCCTTACCAACATGTAGAAATGATCCAAAGGTCAGCGTACAGTTTTGGATATCGAAGGGGAAAGTGTAGATTATTAATTGGCAAGTGGTGACCACTCTGGTTGGTTTACTATCAAAAACGAGACCTGTGTTGTGTAAGTAGACGTCGGGAGTTCGGGAAGGTGTGTCCTCTTTCGTACTGGAAAGAATAATAAAAACATTTTTATTTTCATTTAATTTATTAATCAAATTCACAAAATTTGATTAATAAAGGAAAAGGAAAGAGAAAAACAAAGACAACAAGCTTAATTTCTGTCTCAGACAGTCTTAATTTTTTAAAATCTGAATTTGTATTATATTTTCTTTCATGATGAAAAAGAACAGAGTAGAATAGAGAAAACATTTTACTTATTAATTAATTAGTTAATTATTAAAAGACAATTTAATAAGAGAGGAAAAAGACAAAAAGTTTCATATCTGTCTCAAAGGGATTGCTCTTTTCTTAAAAAAAATCATTTGCATTATATTTTCATCAAAAATCTGTTGGTCTTTTTATACTCTAAATAAAGTAATTATTATTAGCATAAAATGGATTAAAATGGGCAAAGATAAGATTTCTTATAGATCCTTAGTACGAATGTTGTTTTCCCGTGACATGGGATAATTTTCTTATGATCTTGAGATAGCGAATGTTGTTTTTCCGCGATGACGGTCTCATTTTCTCGTGATCTTGAGATAACAAAACAGTAGTTTAACATAGGGGTTGGCGGGAACCTTTCTTACTGGTAATATCATTGTGATTGTAAGTATCACTGGTTAGCTATCTTGTTATCTTGTAAGGGTTGTGATTCAATCCTCATAGAAGGCCATAAAATTTCATAATCCTCTTCTTCAAAGTTCATATGAAGACATTGTTTCACTAACTAATAAAATAAAGCACATGCTGGACTGTGTGCGTCACGGCTATTGGTCCACATCCATCAACCTATGGACTTTTAATTCATCCATCATTGCCAGGCAGAGGAAATTCCTGTGCTTCTCCTTCAGGGGATCCATTTAACATTACACATTTCCTGACGGCTATTTTGGAACCTTTGAAATAGCTGTCGGGAAATGTGTGATTGGATTCCCCTGAATCTCTTCATAACAACTTGCTGCAGAGGATAATAAAAACACACAAAAGAAGAAAAGAAATGTTGCAAAGAGCAGGAGTCAAAGACACAATCCTTTGATTGCAAGTCCTGCGCTCTACCAACTAAGCTAACCAGTGACACTGAATTTGAAAGTGAAGTTCTCCTAAAGAAACGCACCTGACAATGGCTGCCAACCCCTGTATGGTTTGTTATCTCGAGAAAATTATCCCGTTATCATGGGGAAACAACATTCGTTATCTCGAGATTATGAGAAAATTTCACGTTATCACGGGAAAATGGAGTAAAAAAAAAAATGTAATTGATGGGCGCTTAGGGCTTCCTGACCTTAGTATCAACAACCATAAGACTTTACACCCGCGGAGAGGTTTATCTGTCTTCTCTCAGGTTTACAGGGTCTACAATTGCTTTCCAAGTGTTCATATTTTAGATTTTTACTTTACTTCAAGGTTAATTCCTCTGATTTGGACATTAATCTGAGAAAGTTCACAGACTACTGAAAATCCTTTGAACGTACAGCTCTGTAATGTGGATGTCTGGGACCCACAGATTTGTTCGAGGGACAGAGACTCTTTTGGTTCCACATTCCTCCTCCTCCCAGCTCAGTCCCTCTATGTTCCACTGCTGCATTAAACAGAATAATACAGATGTGATGTGCAGCTTTAGAAAATGCCATCCATTTGAACTGTGTCACTTCATAAACAGAAAGAAAAAAGAAACACAAATATGGCATTTCATGTAAAATACTATATTTCAGAATCAGAATCAGCTTTATTGCCAGGTATGTGTACACATACGAGGAATTTGACTCAGGATTGTACGTTGCTCATGATGTGCTTACTCATTCAAAAATACCATAACACAATAATAACATAAAATCAGACACAAACTACAGTATAGACAACACTAATATACACACTATGAACAAAACAATATAGACATATTGACAAATAGTGCAGTGATCAGAGTAAACTATTATTCTCATTATGTACATGTTGAAGGTGGATATGATATACAGGTACACATACATGCATACATGTACACATGTACACAGTGTGATGGAGTATAGTGCAAAGGATGCTGGAAAAAATAAATAAGACCTATGACCTTACGACCTGAGGTAGGTGTATTGAACAGCACTGAAATAGAGAATGGTGAATAAATAAATAATAAGTGGTAACCAGTAAACAGGTGGCTGATAAGAGACAGAGTTACTGGGTTATTGCACAGGAATTGTTCCTGACACTGTGAGTCAGAAATCAGCTGTTCATCAGAATGATGGCTTGTGGAAAGAAACTGCTTCTGTGTCTGTTGGTTTTGGCGTACGGTGCTCTGTAGCGCCTACCAGAGGGGAGGAGCTGGAACAGGTTGTGTCCGGTGTGAGATGGAAACAAACCTACAGTAGAAACCATTCAGCTCGTCTACCAGTTGTTGAGTACATGCAGTGTTGGGGGATGGTCTCTTGTAGTTTGTGAGTGTCCACAAGCCACTCCACACTGATGCTGTTATTTAGCTTTTCAGCGTAGCACCTCTTTGCAGCTTTGATCTCTTTAGTCAGCGTGTTCCTGGCCTGGTTGTAAAAGACTCTGTCCCCACTTATGAAGGCCTCTTCTTTGGTCTGACGAAGCTGCCTGAGTTTCGCTGTGAACCAAGGTTCTTGGTTATTGTATGTGCGGAAGGTTTTAGTCGGCACACACATGTCCTCACAAAAACTGATGCAAGATGTCACAGTGTCAGTTAGTTCTAAGGCTGCATGGGGAACAGAGCAATAGGCATCCTTTAATGTTGTGTAGCATTGGTCCAGTGTCAGTTAATGTCCCTTGTGGGACACTTATATGCTGTCTGTACTTTGGAAGTTTGTGGCTGAGGTTTGCTCTGTTGAAGTCCCCAAGAACAATGAGCAGGGAGTCTGGGTGTTTTTTCTCCACTATCTGGTCGGCCAGGTGTAGTAACGCCTCACTAACAGGCCTGAGGTGGAATGTATAGAGAAACAGAGTCCGCCTCCCCGTGTTTTTCCCGTGAGCTCCCTTTCGCGATCTGCGCGGATGAGATTAAATCCCGGTAGATGAAGTACGCTGTCCGGGATGCGCTCGGTGAGCCAGGATTCGGTCAAACAGAGGGCAGCAGATCTGCAGAAGTCTGAGTTAGTTCTGTTGAGGAGCAGCAGTTCATCCATTTTGTTGACCAGAGAGCAGACATTCGCCAGGTGGATTGAAGGGAGCGCAGTGCGAAATCCCCGCTGTCTCAGTTTAACCAGCGCGCCTGCTCGTTTTCCCCTGCGCCGCTTCCGGAGGATCCCAAACAGAGCTGCTGCTCCTCCAACTAATAACTCTGGGAAAGTTCCAGGGTCAATAAAGAGCGGTGGAATAGTATGAGCAGTTGAAAGTCCAATGTTTAAGAGCTCTTAGAGGGACGGCAGAAAACAGCGTTAATTAACAAAAAGCACTATGGAGCGTAATCCTGAGGCGGCCTCTGCGGCGCCATCTTGGTTATTTCTGAATGACATATTTTAATTGTGCGGGGAAAAGTCGAAATGTTACCATGATGAGGATAAGCATATAAGACATTTCAACATTTTGCACAAAAATGTCTTTTGTCACAAGTTAATGACCAATAGCAAGTAAATTAAGAGTAAAAAGTATCATTTGGAATAAGAAAAAAATTTTTCGACAGCTAGAACCTGCAAATTTCTGATGTTGGTGCCTCCAGTGGTTGTCTCCTAACCTTGAATTGGCTTATTTTGCTATAAATAAAAATTAATGTAATGACAATAATTCTGAAGATTCTATAAAGATATAAAATATCTACACATGGTGGATTTAATTTGACTAAGAATTCAGAATTTATTGATGTTTATGTCAGTGCTCTGAAAACTTACCAGATCTTGCCATAAGACTGTTGTAAGGGTTTCAGCCTTGTCATCCCATGGATGAGACATATGTTTTGTGAGCCCGTAATAAAGAATAATTATGAATTAGAATGACTGACCATTTCCACTGCTATGCGGATGACACCCAGCTCTACCTGTCCACCAAACCTACCACATCTCTCCCACCCACCTCCCTCTCTGATTGCCTAACCGAAATCAAATCCTGGTTCTTTTGCAAATTCCTCAAACTTAACAGTGACAAAACTGAGGTTCTCCTCATTGGCACCAAATCCACTTTGGCTAAATCTGACAGTTTTTCTCTTACAATTGAAAACTCCCCAATTTCCCCCTCCCCTTCGGTCAAGAGTCTGGGTGTGATCCTCGACAGCACACTTTGAATAATAACCCAGGCGTCCATATGGGACAGGCCTTTAATTCCTTTTTGCACAAAACTGAAACTACTATGAAACAGTTTTTTTTATTTCAAACACAAAACTTACTGTACAAAACTTATCCAATAATATCAACACCACGAAAACAACATGGTGCAGGATGAGAGAAGTTAGCAGACAGAGAGTGATGGACTTCACATGACAGGATTTACAACTTGGATAAATTTTTATGAAAAGCTGTTTTGATTCTTTTTTATCGGTGGACCCTTACAGACTAAAGAAATATAAATAATCAAGGAATGGACACATTTGGACTCAACCAGCGGACTTAACGAGCTCTTCAAAGGTAACGGCATTCATCACCTTTTTTCCTTTCCTCTCTCGTACCATGCAGGTTCCGCCAGTAAATCTATAAGAATTAGACTTTGGGGCTCGTTGTTTGAATTGTGGAGAATCTAACGATCTAACGATGTGTAGCATTACATACTGACATATTGATCATACGTTTAAACATTAATAAGGGGTTTAAGAGGTTTTATACATCCAAAGAACTTCTATAAAAACCAGACCAGACATTTAATGGGGACATGCGTTTATTTTTCAAAATGTGTTCCCACACCAGGCCAGTACAGGAGATAGGTGGCTATTTGGGACTCGGCTATTAATTGAAGTTTTACAGTAATGTCACTCGGTCTGCATACTTCCATTTACGTAACATTACTTTCCTCCGACCGTCTTTCTCACCCGCTAGTACAGCCAATCTCGTTCATACACTGGTCACATCCCGCATTGATTATTGTAATTCTCTTCTCATTGGTCTTCCTCTCAAATCAACTCTGCTACCCATATCATCACCAGAACCCTTTCTATAAATCATAACAGCTTCATTGCCTCCCAGTTAAATACTGCATTGATTTCAAGACTCTGCTCCTGACCTTCAAGGCCGTTCAAAACCGTGCCCTCTGTACCTCAATGACCTCCTTCATATTAACACATCCACCCGTACTCTTAGGTCGTCTTCTTCTATTCACCTCACTTTACCTCCTGCTTGTTTGACCACCATGGGGTTCAGAGCCTTTAGCTGCTCTGCCCCTCGTCTCCGGAACTCTCTTCCACCAGACATCTGCAACATGGACTCGCTTTCCATTTTTAAATCCCTCCTGAAAATACATCTTTTAACAACTGCCATTTCCCACATGATCACTATTTTTCAGGTCACAGCAATCTAAAACCAGTTGTTATGTACCCTGATTTTTTGCACTGTAATTATAGTTGTTAATTTTATCGATTTATTGCTGTACTGTTTTATTATGTTTTGTGAGGTGACCTTGAGTGTTCAGAAAGGCGCCTATAAATAAAATGGATTATTATTATTATTAAAAAACGTCATAATGTGCAGGCATAAATAGGTGTTGTGTAGACTCACCAATCCTAAAACTCCCACCACAGTGATATCAATGGTCACGTTAGTTGGATTTGAAAAATATTTGACGGGACGCACCAGTTGTTTTTGGAATAATTCCTCTTTAAGTGCATCAAACAAGGAATCAGGAGTTGGGCTGGTGCAATTCAATGCTGCTACAAAACCTGAGTTTAAAAAGAGAAAGTAGAAAATGAAATTTGTGAGAAAGCTCATACATGCACAAGGAAGTACAGCAGCTCTTTTATTGTGCTATTATGCGCACAGAAGCATTGTAGCTCTTTCTTTGTCTGCTGTACACAATATGAGTATGTTAGAGAAGCCAACAATGGCTGTGGTTACAATAGTTTTGTTATCTTGAGATCACAGGGGTAAAATTAAATTACTACAATTGCTGTTATCGGCTTCTAAAGGTAAAGGTACTTTCCTGTCACATACACATACAGTACATAGCGAAATTCATCCTCTGCATTTAACCCATCCCCCAAAAGAGCAGTTTGCAGCCACTGTTCAGCGCCACTTGGGCACTATGCTGTGGTGGGAGACTGCACACATTCAAGAGCTTCAGTCACATTATAGCCTCTTGCCTTTGATACATCTGAAAATCTGAGATCTTTAGAGTCACTGTATGTCTTTCAGACACTTATAAAAAGTGTTAATGAGTTGTAACTGAAGGCTTCATTAATGGTCAGTGAAGACCAGCTTTTTCCACAACATGGCAATGCAAAAGTTCTTATAATAGCTTATAATGTCCATAAAATATTAGTAATAAATGTCCATAAAATATTAGTAATTAGTAAGTATCAATATTAATCCGCATGTGGACCTTTGGTGGTCTTAATTCAGTCATTAATAAAGGCCCAAACATTGTTTATAAAATAAATAAAGCCATTAGTCACAACTTACAAAAAGCTTCCAGTATAAAGGGTGCCTCAGTAGAATATAGGCACTGTTTTTTAAAAATCACATTTGTGCACAATAACTTTGACAATCTTTTAATAACCACAATAGAGATGAATTCTCTGAATTTCTGAAAAATAAAAGTTAGAAATTATTATTATTACACTTTATTGTCCACCTTAGTGGAAATTTGTCTTCGATTCCTCAGAACAGATAAACAACAGTGACACCACAGTTAAAATTATAAATTTAAATAATAAATGAATTCCTCATAGAAACAAGGTCTGAAACAATATTTATAAATGTACCATGTTATAAAACTAATTTAGTCAATATGCAAACTGTTATATATATAACTGTTGGCATATATTAATTTATTTATTTTCTTGTCTTTTATAACTACATATATATGTTCTAAAACGGGAAAGGGCAATACTTGCATTTCACTTGAGATTGTTTGTATTTTATGACAACAAATCTTAAGTTAACTTTCAACTAAACTTTTTTGAAAGAGGTTTCCACTGTATAGGACCAGAAGAAACGTGCCCAACTACCAACTTGCAATGTTTAAGACTTTGACAGGTCATCTTCTTAGCTTATTTTCTGAATAGTCATAATGTATTCCTGCCTTATCGTGAAACAGCATGAAACAGATGAAGATGAGCTCAGCAGGCTTTAACTCTGTCATTTTCATTCTCAGTGAAGCCTCTACTATAATAAGTGCCTCAGATCACATACCAAAGAAGTCAAAACAGTGTGCTCCATCAGAGTGAGATGTTCTGCAGGGGTAACATCAATTTATCAGTAATTAGGTGAAATTTGTAACCACCTCCACTGACTAATATTGACTCAGTTGACTGATTGATGTGGCATGACTTAAGCCATAGGGGTTTTCCCAGTTGCTTGCAGAGATCCACTCATTTTTGAGTAACCATATTTGCATAATGATTGCATAGATTGTACAACAGGTTGTTGAATCATCAACAGGTAGATTTGCTTCATAATGTGTATTCTTGTATTTGTGACAGCTGAGGCCAAGGCAAACACAAAGGTAGGCACTTGGATGGTTGTTGTATCAGTTGAGAATGTACAAAAATTATGCTTTGCCTCTTTTAGTGCTGCGATGGTTAAATATGTTAGTGAGGCTGAGGAGGCTGAAAATCAGATACCTTTAGTCATATCAATTCAAATCCATTCAATCTAGCTTTATTGGCATGAATGTAAAACAACAAATGACACTGCCAAAGCCACAAATAAATTACAAAAGAGCAATTCATTTTATACAGTTCATTAATAACTATAAAAAATAAAAAATAAAGATAAAGTAAATAATACAGTAATAGGGTTTGTGTATGTGTGTTAAAAAATAAAATATTAAAATTTAAATAAATAAATAAAACAGTATCAAATGTGAGATTAAAAAAAAACTAATATATTTAGTGCATGAGGTTAGAAAGTGCAGCTCTGTCTCTACCTGTCGTCTGTCACACTGGGAGCAGATTCTCTTCTCTATCTGTGGCGACCCTTTTCTATGGCCAGGCTGTGTTCACTTAGTCTGTATGTTGTCAACATTTTTCTTAGTTTAGGACATTTTATTTTGCTCAGGTAATATGCCAGTGTGAATTCTCTTTTTAGGGTCAGATAACATTGTAATTTACTTTGTGTTTTGATCGTTTCTTTCCAGTATTCAATATATTTTTCTTTTTGCATGCTGATAATTTGGTCTGGTCTGCTTGAGTTGGTGTTGCTGTGCTGAGTCTGGAGACTTGTTACTGCAGAGAGCCTCAGGATCAGCTGGCTGAGGGGCCTCTTCTCTGGTTTCAGCTCCTGGTATGTTACGGCTTTGTGATGGTATATCTGGGGGTTAACTGATTTTAAGTCATTGTAAAATTTAATTGATCTTTTCTGTATTTTTAGTAAGAGGGGGTATTGGCCAAGCTCTGCTCTGCACAGATTATTTGTTGTTTATCATTGCACCTGCAGGATGCTCTTACAGAACTCGGTGTGGAAAGTTTCTATGATTGCTTTGTCCCACTTGTCAAATTCATTATTTAGTTTTGGTCCTACCATATAGAATTATTGGTTCTAGTACAAGAGAAAGCTGTCCTTGCTTTGTCCTAAAGATCTTTCACAGCCATGTTGAGTTTTCCTGTGTATGTAATGTTGAGGCCAAGGTAATTTTTGTACGTTGCAATTTAGTGGTGTTTTTTTTTGTGTGTAACCTGATTTCTGTATTGTTTCTGAAAGATCATTATCTTAGTCTGTGTTTACTGTCAGGGCCCAGGTCTGACAAAATCTCTGCAGGAGATTAAGGTGCTGCTGCAAACCTTCTTTAGTAGGTGAAAGCAACACTAAGTCATCTGCATACAACAGGCCTCTGATCTCTGTGTCGTTCAGGGTGAGGCCATGTGCTGTGGAACGCTCTAGTTCAGGGGTATTCAATTAGAATTCAAAGAGGTCTAGTTAGAGAAAATTTCCCGAAGCAGATCCGGAACATCGATTAACTTACGTTATCATTCAGTACCATAACATATGTTTTTAGTCAACAACGGACTGTCAAATCAAATAATATTTCAGTCAGTGCCTAATTGTTTGAAAAAATGAAATAAAAAATGTAGCTTGAAGTGATGAAGTGTAGTCTTAACAAATTTTATAATAAACACTCAACACATCATAACAAATGTACAGCTGTAATGCCTCCTCTTTTACTAATACTAATACTGTGTTTGACCCCCTTTCGCCTTCAGAACTGCCTTAATTCTACGTGGCATTGATTCAACAAGGTGCTGAAAGCATTCTTTAGAAATGTTGGCCCATATTGATAGGATAGCATCTTGCAGTTGATGGAGATTTGTGGGATGCACATCCAGGGCACGAAGCTCCCGTTCTACCACATCCCAAAGATGCTCTATTGGGTTGAGATCTGGTGACTGTGGGGGCCATTTTAGTACAGCGAACTCATTGTCATGTTCAAGAAACCAATTTGAAATGATTCGAGCTTTGTGACATGCTGCATTATCCTGCTGGAAGTAGCCATCAGAGGATGGGTACATGGTGGCCATAAAAGGATGGACATGGTCAGAAACAATGCTCAGGTAGGCCGTGGCATTTAAACGATGCCCAATTGGCACTAAGGGGCCTAAAGTGTGCCAAGAAAACATCCCCCACACCATTACACTACCAAATTCTGACTCTACCATCTGAATGTCTCAACAGAAATCGAGACTCATCAGACCAGGCAACATTTTTCCAGTCTTCAACTGTCCAATTTTGGTGAGCTCTTGCAAATTGAAGCCTCTTTTTCCTATTTGTAGTGGAGATGTGTGGTACCCGGTGGGGTTTTCTGCTGTTGTAGCCCATCCGCCTCAAGGTTGTGCGTGTTGTGGCTTCACAAATGCTTTGCTGCATACCTCAGTTGTAACGAGTGGTTATTTCAGTCAAAGTTGCTCTTCTATCAGCTTGAATCAGTTGGCCTATTCTCCTCTGACCTCTAGCATCAACAAGGCATTTTCGCCCACATGACTGCCGCATACTGGATTTTTTTCCCTTTTCACACCATTCTTTGTAAACCCTAGAAATGGTTGTGTGTGAAAATCCTAGTAACTGAGCAGATTGTGAAATACTCAGACCGGCCCGTCTGGCACCAACAACCATGCCACGCTCAAAATTGCTTAAATCACCTTTCTTTCCCATTCTGACATTCAGTTTGGAGTTCAGGAGATTGTCTTGACCACCACACCCCTAAATACATTGAAGCAACTGCCATGTGATTGGTTGATTAGATAATTGCATTAATGAGAAATTGGAAAACAGGTGTTCCTAATAAT